CTAAGTGGATGTAAATGATCCGAGCAGCGTTTGTTTAGGAAGTTCATTAGTTCAGCAGTGCAGGAAGTTCTGCTGCAGTACTATTACAGGCCGCCAGGTGGTCAAAAATCTAATCGTTTTGAGGTCATATCAAGACCTACCCACTTATTAAATATCAAGACAATCCATCAAGGCCTTCTCAAGTTACCGTGTTCAGAAACACGCACAAACAAACAAACAAACACACACACACACACACATACAGACGCACGAACGCCCCTGAAAACATAACCTTATTGGCGAAGGTAATAACAAAGGCTGCTAACACTCCATGTCTAAAGGTAACTAAGTTATCTATTAGCAACCCGTTTGTTTGCCTGAAAAAACCTTTGGCCTTAGCTAACTGTTATCATTGGAATGACTCTTAAGTTTGCACTCTGTGTGATGTAAGGCACATTAGGGACGTGTAAACATCTTATCAGGATGTTTCTGACATCAAAGGCGCCACAATCCGATATGTAACTGGCAGCTGGGATGTTTTTAATTGCGTGTAATAGCAAAGCGGGCATAAGGAAACAATATGAAAGCAAAAGAGATGGGAGGGGAGGGGAGAGTATAATTGGGGAGGGTAAGGTAGGTTAAGCGACGGTCACAACCCGCCGTACGTGCTTCTGCGTGCTGTCTATGTGCAAAAACGTGGGCAAACGTAGGGCATCCGTGCGTGGTGAGTACCACCTCCGTACGGAATCCTACGGATTTGGGAGCACGCAGACACGCCGTAGAACTTTAAGTGCATGTAAAACTTTTTCTACGTGCGGTCTGCGGATTTACCACCCGTGCGTGCGAGTACGTGCGACGCGCGTGCCCCGTACAGCCCATCAGCGTGCAACGTACGGACTCCGTGAGTCTAACTTCACTATCCTCACGTGCAATTGCTGTACAGACAGCGCACGAAGCACGTCAGTGCCACGCACGGTGCTTGCGTCATCCGTGCTTACTGCTCACTTCCCAGTTGACCTGCTCAATGACCAGGCAGAACACACGTGTACCATACCAGGTGCTCCGCACGTGCAACGCACAGTATATAAAGACGACTTGACGGGCGACTGCCAACTCGTCTCCAAGATGCCCAGGAAGGCTCAGAAGAAGACTACCAGTATAGGTCCAAAAATATTAAGTAGAATACCAGATACATAGAAAACAGAAGTGGCGTCGTGTGGCGTAGTGGACAGAGCGTTCGACGCTCAAGCAAGGAGCCCCGGGTTCGATTCCGGGTCGGAACACAGGGGCATGTCCGAACATGCGCACCGACGTTGTGCCCTTGGGAAAGGCGCTTTACACGTATCCCCCCTCAACTAGATGGTCGAGTCTCCAACGGCAGTTGGCTTCAGCTGGCGGACGAGAGCAGCGCCAGGCTGGCTGGCGTAGTCAAGGCGGACCTTGACCGTAACCAAGTCATCCGGCAGCTCGCTGCAAGCACCCGAACCGGAACCAGCACGTCTCCCTCGATGGATCCGCTGGGGAAGACGGATGCCCAAGTGTGTGGGTCTCAGATTCGCAACCTGTTATCCACCTTAAACATCCACGCGAAGGCCGCCGTGTCAACTGTAACCCTCACTCAGGTGTAGGGACTGACACGGTCATCCTACTCGGAAAATCTGTACCTGTATATCTGTACATGAATCTGTATCAGTGCATGCATATGTATCTGTACATGAATCTGTATCTGATTGCAAATAAAGATATCGAGTGATTGCCATAGCATAGCATAGCAGAAAACAGAATGTTCATATATAACTCTACGTAGACCGGGCTTTTTTTGGCACGGGGGGGCCCGGGGGAGGCTCTTTTGACCCCCCCCCCTCAGAACTCGCGAACGGTATGTCGTATGACTACCAAATTTTTTAGAGGATGGTGTAAAAATTTATCATATCTGCAATTTTTATGTCGTTATGACGTAATATGACGTCATTATGACGTCGTTAATGTGATTTTATTGGCCCAAACCGTCAAGATAGGTTTTCCCTGAAAACTAAATGGTATTCAACATAAGTGTACCAAAAGTGTTTATGACAGAACAGTAGGGTGTACTAAGTCTTATGTTGCCCATAGCAACACCGGTGACGTCATAAAATGACGTCATGCATATTTAAGATATCCGCCATCATGGATCATCAATCTTGAATTTTCAACAATAGTTTTTTTTTTTCATTATAAAGACAAAAATACATTTTAATCATACTAAAGACCTTCATTTAAACCTTTTTTGGAAAAAGAAATGGAAGTATTGATGAAATTTTTTAAAATGAAAATAACCTGTATATACCTGTTCTAATGATATGGTCCGCCATCTTGGATTTTGGCCAATGACATCATCAAATAAGCATAAATTATGCATATTTAGTGACAAAATTTACATAAAATTATATGGGATGTTATTAATATTAAAAACCATAAGTAATAAGTAAAATTCTGTTGTTGAAAATTAGAAAATTTTAGAATAGAAAGTACTAAATTTAGAAAAAATGACTGCCAGAATCCCGTTGCCATGGCAAAACAAGAAAAAAATTATTATCTTAATCCAATGATAGAGAATTTTTGTCAACAATATTCTAGGAAAAGTCACCAAGTTTGGCCGTTCTACGGTTAGCCGTTCAGACGCTAGGTGACATCAAAGTTGGCGCGGGCACTTTTAGCCCCCC